CGTCTTATCAAAAGGTGTGACGTCAAATCCTCGTACAGAGAAAAGAAGCGCCACTGAGTTTTCATAAAGTTCGCCCAAAAATACTTGCAAAAATGGACGAAATGCAACTTCCAGTAAGTAAAAGGTGAATATTCATTATATTTTCCATTTGATCTGACTGTAGGCGGAGTTATTTTTTTAGTCGCTTTGCAGCATTTTCGTGAAAACAACAACTGCGCAGTTCAAATTCAAATTTACGTTGATCAAACGTTTTGTGAATTACCAACACGTAGTAAGTTAATCTTTTCATTGCTGATCCATATTTACTTTATTTTATTATTATTTTTAATAGGATACTTGTTCCTCAGAAGAACTCTCAATATCATGACAAGCACAAAAAGAAAAAGAAGTCGTAATGTAAGTTCAACAATTTCATTTGTGCGTAACTAATGTCAATCATTGTAAATAAATCAATATATGCAGTTTTTACAATGTCAACAATGTCCATTCAACAAGATACAAGAATCTTATGTTTGAATTCAGTTAGTAAACATCTCTAAGTCATAAAACAAAATTTCATCTTTTGTGAATTTATAAAGAAAAAAAAAATTCACAGAAACTATTAGGTTCCTTTTAAAAAAAATATATAACCAATACTATGTACATGTAAATGAACACATGAACAGTTGTGGGCATCACTACAGTCCAACAATGGATGCACATGTAATCTTAAAAAAAAATGTGTTCATTGTAGAATATAATGAATGACTCGTTAGTCATCCCACAGGCCAGGCTGAGGAATATCCTTTCCCTTAGCTCTCTCCTCAACGGCATGAACAAGCCCTGTTAATCCATAGTAAGTCGCCTCCACATGGATTTGCCGGAGGATGGACTTGTCATATGGGAGGACTTTGGAGTTGTACGTCGCCGATCTGAGGTAATCTAGAATAAAGTCGAAATAACGGGGGTTCCTATCTAGGAAAAAGGTTTTTGTGTCATTGTTTGTTGCACAAAGGTCTTTTGCTACCATGGCCGATAATATAGAGCTCGGGTCTGCTTGCATGGTTTGTTTACTTGTCTCGAATCGTCTTCCTCCGACGTTCAACACTATTCTTTCCTTCTGTTGTATTTCCAGGCTCTTTATCATTATTTCCCTTTTGTCTGTCGGGTTATATGCCGGTGCCGGAAGATCAGCCACTTCGTACTCCAGAGCTGCAGGGTTCTTCGAAACTCTCGGTTCTGCTCCACGCACTGAGATATCAGGGCTCTCCAAGGAATTTGTCGATGACCTTTTGGAGGAAGAGCGGCTGGAGGACGACGAGGACGATGTATCATCAAAAAGCCTTCTGTTGACTGTCCTATCCTTTTGTGGAGCCTGTTTTTCAGGTGGTGTCGATAGAGCTCTGGTCTGTGGAATAGATGTTACGGCTGGAACTTCGGCTGATGGAAGTGTAGTTTCCGTTGCCTTTGTTACAACAGTTCTTGTCACACCAGTTGGTTCAGACACATTTTGTTGCTTTGACGACGGCTTTTGTCGCTTCGGCAGGGGCCCTTCGTGGTTAACTCTGATGGTCCTCTTTCCTGTGTACCCTTTATACATATTTGGGGATATTTTTTTCATGAAAGGTTCAACGAACCTATAGCGGTTTCTTTGAAACTCTGCAAACTCTCTTTTATCAGCTTCATTAAATGTCATTGTGGATTTCTTGACAGATAATGCCACGTAGCCTTCGCAGTTGTGTTTCTGATTTCTTCTGGATAAAATGTACTTGCACACCGAACACTGGAAACCGAATCCCGAATGGGTGGCGGTTAGATGTTGTTCTGCTTGGTGTTGCTGTGCGAACTCTCGTCCGTCACACAATGTGCATTTGAATTTCTGCACCTGTAATGTATAATAATTTACGTGAATGTTTGTTTTATAGAATGCACAAAGCAAAAATACACAATATGCCTGTACTAGACTACTAGTGTATAATAAGATATAGATAAAGTGTTTTCAGATCATCAATTTTTTTTTTTTTATAAAAACATAACACAAATAATCTCCTCAATTTTAACAATGTCTGTTAAAGAAAACAAAATTTCATGCAAAAACAAGCAATGTTAGTTATTCAGCATTTACTTCTGAAACCACTTAGGTTTATTCTCACCCACATACAGCTTTAACCTGTTGTGGTGCAATATATCTCCTTTGTGTTTGGGAGACTTTTTGACCTTGTAAAGAACATCATTTATTCTTTTCGTGACCACATAAGGGCCTGCCCAATTCTTAAAAAGTTTTCTCGATAGGCCAGGTTTGGGGTTGGGGTAGAACACCCAAACTGGATCCCCCTCAGAATAATTATTCTGTTGTACTTTTGTATTGTATTCACGTAACATTTTACTAGAACTCAACTTGATGTTATTTCTTGCAAAATTGTGAATGTTGTCAATTTTTCTAGATAAATTTAATGCAAACTCAGTTATGTTCTGATTTGTTTCAGGGTCTGGTCTCCCTAACACTAGATCGACAGGCAATGTTACAGGGCGACCAAACACCATCTCACAAGGACTCACACCTGTAGACTCATGGACAGAGGACCTATAAGCGAGCATTAACAGGGGTATTAATTCATCCCAGTTTTTCTGGTTTTCCTCTACAAAAACTGTTAACATGTTTTCAATAGTTCGATTTGCCCTCTCGATCATGCCGTCCGATTGTGGACGATAAGGAGTGGTCCTTGTCTTTTCTATGTTTAATATTTTGCACATTTCTTGAAACACTTCTGACTCAAAAGTTTGACCTTGGTCAGAATGTATTTGCATTGGTGTCCCAAATATGGTGACAACATGATCAACAATTTTCTGTGCTACTGTTGTAGACTTTTTATTTTTGATTGGTATGGCATCAAGCCATTTAGTAAAATAGTCACCCACCACTAATAAATATAAATTCTTTTTGTGTGTCATGGGGAGGGGACCTAAAATGTCTACAGCCCATCGCTCCATGGGAGCGCCTACATTGTAAGTTTGTAATGAAGCTTTCGGATGTTTGTTAGGGGATTTTCTTGATGCACAAACATCACACATTTTACAATGGGACTGTATATCTTGACGCATTTTGTGCCAAAAGTATTTATCCTTAGCTTTTGATAAAGATTTCTTAAAACCTAAATGACCCCCAGTCACGTCATCGTGAATTCCCTTAATTACTTCTTTAATTAGGGATTTTGGTAAAACAATTTGAAATTTGGGGTTAACATCTTCCCATTTGTGATACAGGGTCCCTCCCATTATTGAGAGTGAATCGAACCTAGTCCAGTAATATTTACAAGTCTCACTTGTATGTGAAATATTTTCCCAAGTGGGTTTCTGACCTAACTTTACCCATTTGATAATTTCATTCAAATCTGAGTCTTTTAATTGTAAAGAACCAATACTATTTTCGCTTACAATTGTTTCATTGTTAGCTACATTTTCAGTTTGTTTTGTAGGGATAACGAGGGGCAGAGCAGATTTATCACAAGATCTGGTTGTAACAGGCCAGTTTGCAGGTATTTTTAAGCTCTTAGTGTTGTCTTTAGGATTTAAACTAACAATTTCGTTTAATTTCTTGCCCATAGTCCCTGTCTCAGATTTGTCAGAATTTACAGTTTTATTGTGAACACAATCTGTATTTACTTCGTACCGTCCTTCAGCTGAGGTACAATATTTACAATTTAATTCAGTACATGGCCGACGTGACAACGCGTCTGCATTATTATGAGAACGGCCTGCTCTGTGCTCTATGTCAAAGTCATATGAGGATAGGAACTCAAACCACCTAGCGATCTGACCTTCTGGGTTCTTGAAATTAAGTAACCAGGTTAATGATCCATGGTCTGTCCTAACCTTAAAGCGTCTTCCATACAAATAGTGATGAAAATGTTTGATTGAGTTTACTATGGCTAAAAGTTCTCTTCTTGTTACACAATAGTGGCGTTCAGATGCGCTAAAAGTTTTACTATAGTAACTAATAACTTTTTCTACGCCATCTTGAATCTGTGATAACACCGCCCCCATCCCAGTATTGGAAGCATCAGTGTCTAAGATGAATGTCCCATTAACATCTGGGTAAGATAAAATAGGTGAACTTGTCAGGGCACGCTTTAGCTTGTCAAAAGAATTGTGGCAATCTTCATCCCAAATAAATTTATGATTTAGTTCTGTCAATTTGTGCAAGGGCCTAGCTATATCGGAAAATTTATATACAAATTTCCTATAGTAGGAGCACAATCCCAGAAAACTTCTGACTTCTTTCACATTTGATGGGATAGGCCAATTTCTTACTGCTTCAATTTTTGAAGGGTCGGTAGCAATACCATTTTCCCCAACTATATGTCCTAAGAATGAGACCTGTTTTTGTAAAAGAGTACACTTTTTGGGATTTATTTTCAAGTTAGCTTCATGCAAACGTGTAAAGACTTGTCGTAAATTATCTAAATGTTCATCGAAACTTTTTGAGAGAACTATAATATCGTCAAGGTAAACTAAACAGATTTTCCATGACAAATTTGATAGAGCTTTTTCCATGAGCCTCTCAAAAGTCGCACCAGCGTTGCACAAGCCAAAAGGCATTTTACGAAATTGCCAGTGTCCACCACCGGGTATTGAAAATGCTGTTTTGGGGATGTCTTCTGGAGTCATTTCGACTTGCCAGTATCCGCTCTTTAAATCTATTGTTGAAAACCATCTAGACCCTGATAATGCATCTAGTGTAGAATCAATTCTAGGGATTGGGTAACTGTCTTTGATCGTGATGTCATTTAATTTTCTATAATCGATGCAAAATCTGATTGACCCATCTTTCTTTTTGACTAAAACTATAGGGGAGCTCCATGGGCTGTTGGATGTTTCAATGACCCCTTTATTCAACATATCTTTAATTTCATTTTGAGCTTCTTGCATTTTGGCTAAAGGAATGCGTCTAGGTAGTTGTTTTATTGGGGGTGCATTGCCAGTGTTAATCTTGTGTTTAACTAAGTTTGTCAACCCCATGTCAGTAGAGTTTACTGAGAAACTACTTTGAAACTCTATTAGTAATTTTCTTAATTTTTGCTGTTGTTCTTGATCAATGTTTTTGCAAGAATTTTCAAACACAGACTTCAAATGTTCAGGAAATTTTTCATTTGTTTTCTTTTCATGTTTTGTCAAAACATTTATTGATTGGGGAGTATTTTCAACAATCCCTGAAGTAACTTCTAAATTTGCCACCACTGTCCCTTTGAAAATTTTGACACTCTGATCACCTAAGTTCATGTATCGAACAGGTACTTTATCAGTTTCAACTTTTGCCAAAATCTTGGGAACTAATACATCATGTTTATCCAAAAATTTTGCCACAGGCTCTAACAAAGTAACCTTGTCATTAAATAATGGGTTTTCTACTTTAGCCGGGGCAATAAATTCACTGAGAGGGGGAATTTCTATAGTTTCCGTCAGAAATACTTTACAACAATGCTCATTCAAAGCTTCATTTGTAAAGCAAGAAACATCTACCCCCTTTATTCTAAGCTTCATTTTGTTCAACAGAACGTCACAGTTGTGTTCTTTCATGAAATCTAAACCCAAAATACATTCGTTTTGGATATTAGCCACTAACACATTTTGATTCACCGTAACATCTCCCACACATATTTTCACTAGGCATTCCCCTAGTACAGATATTTTCTCCCCACTAGCGGATGTTAAATGTACAAATGAAGGGTTCAAATCTAATTTCCCCTTTAACTCTGAACTGTCTGCAAAATCTGAGCTAATAATTGTTACACTAGCTCCTGTGTCGACCATCATTGTAGTTCGAATGTTCTCAATTTTGCCTACAACAAAAATTCCTTCACCACGCCCCCTTACATCACCTACTCTTTCATTTTTAGGTGGATTTTCAAACTTGATAATTTTCTCAACATCATTTTCAGATATATTGTTCTCAACATCATTTTCTGATTTATTGTTCATTAAATTGTCATTTTTAGTTACATTAACTGTATTTTGAGGACTCTTTTTAATACACTCATTTCTTCCAGCAGGAAGAGGTCCTCTTATATCATCCTTGCTTAACAGTGATTGGGGCCTACCCCTGTGCTTTGTCGACTTCTGCCCCCTGAATTCGACACGGGAAAGTTTCCCTGATTTGAGGATTGAAAGCGACCATTCTGAGATTGTCTATTTGGGTAGGTATTATGTCTGTCTAAATTGTTTGTATTGTATGGCTGCCTATGAACTTGAAACTGATTGTTCTGTCGATCATTTTGTGCATTCCTAAACCGAGGATGCACCTCGCTTGAACGAGAAGAGTTGGGTCTTGAATTAAGACCATTTTTTAGGAGTGATCTAACCTCTTTTATAAGTGATTGGAGATCATCCCTTAAGACCCTATTTTCTTGTTTGATCGAGGCGAGGAGATTGGTATCCATTTCTGGATTTATGGCATTGACAATTTTTACTCTCTGAGCATCAGCCAGTTTGTGAGTTTCAAGTCTTATAGCCAAAATCTCAGCCTCATTAATGTCTCTGGGTCTACTTTCTCTCAAGCGAAGGCGCATATCCGGATCGGGAAGTGCATCTATGAAGTGATCTAATGATAGAACATTTGTCAAGTTTGAATCGGCAGTAGGATATGCTTGCCTAGTAAGTTTCTTGATAGATTGTGCAAGTTCAGATAAAGACTCTTTGTCACCTTTGGTTTTTGTCTTTAACTTAGCTCTGAACATTTCAGATCGTTCAACTGAACCATAACGCCTATCAAGAATCTTGACTAGGGAATCATAATCTCTGCGCTGAACTTCGTTAAGCTCACTTAAAAGTGCACGAGCCCCTCCCGCTAAACTGCTAGCTAGGTATAGTGACTTTGCCCTATAATTCCAACCATGTAGATCAACCAAGATTTCAAACTGGGCTAGATATTCCCCAAAATCTTCTGACCCATCAAATGTAGGTGGTTTAATTGATACAACAGGTTTGGAATTGAAAGGGGAAGGAACTCTATTTTCATTGTAATTTATCTCCCTTGCAGGGGTATCTATGTGACCAATACTTTCCCCAGCCTCAATGATAGGAGACTGATCATGAGGACCCAGGGATTCTCTACACCCATGCTCTTGATATCTGAATGCATTATCTTTGGGGGTCCCCTTTTGTTTTAATTCATCTACTTTTTTTTGCAATTGACGAGAATCTCGTCTCATGTTTGATAATTGTTCATCAATGTCTTGTCTCATGTTTAAGACTTCTTTGTTCATCATTTCTACAGCTCTTAACAAAAGTTCATTTACATTTTCAGCCTTGTCAGAGCCTGATTTCTGTGTTGGAGAAGAGGTACCGGACCGTTGATACACATCACAAGTGATGTAATCATTCAGATCGCAGGACCTGCACCCATTCTCCTCAGAGGCTTCAAATTGGCTGTTTTCATTTGACATTTTGACTTTTGTTATTGGCTATTGCAACACAAATTTATGTGTTTATATGTCAATGTGCTTGTCGTTGTCAATAGACTTAACAAGACTTATAAGTCAATATTTTTAGATCCTGATGTAGACTTTCGATCAACCAGAATAAAAGGAAGACTTTATCCCACTTCTGACACCAATTGTTACGACTTACAGCTTTATGTTTAGCGGCGTAACATTGTGGGGCTCCTTAATCTGAATGTTGAACGAAAGACAACAGGATATAATTTGTTTTTAATATTTTATTAGATTTTATTCAATAAACATACAAAAATATTCTTCTTTGGCTCTGCTGTCCTCACCTGAAATAAAAGCAAACCAACCACCCTTTCCAACAAATGTTAATTTATAAACCACCCTTAAACGAACCCTTTAATGAGTGTAAATAGACCTAATGCCTTTAGGTCTTGAATAAAGTTCCAACTAGTGATTTCTTCACTTAGTGAGTATAAATATAAAATGTCAGGTTATAGCAAACAACTAATTGTATAGGGACAAAAAGTTATGCTAACATCTCAACAAAACTCAATACAATGCACCATGCATTTGTTAGTTTGTTGTTAATAATAATGTCAGGAGTTATAAATATCACGTTCAGGTCACTTCTTGTGCCTTAGTAAATATTATTCAACAATAAACAATAACGAGTCCAGATCACTACTTGTGTCTGAATAAAACTCATTAAACTAATAAAGCCATCAAGTGTTGCTAACAAGTCAATACAAATTGAGGGATAATTACCCATCTAAACTCTTCTGAGCCTTGTTCTTGTAAGGTCATCGTTATCAGATTTGGCGACCGCACAATGAGTGAGACAGCAGACGTCTGACTGTCAGAGCCCGGGGAGCTCGTATATAAAGCCTTTTACACCCATTATGACGTATATTGCATGAGATTTGGCGCCATAACTTCAAATAGCCGGAAAGCTTCGGATACATTTAACTATTATACGCATCCGAGGTGTTCCGAATGTACTTTACATCTTTTGCCGCTTAGTATGAAAAAGCAGAGTGTAATTGTCAGGTTTTTACTCTAATTATCAGTGAATGGATTTATTAATTACCCCAATTATCAAAGGTAAGAATATTTAGTACTATATAAAAGCATTTGTAGACCAGTGAATGGTTTATTTACGTTCCGTATTCCTCAAAACGTGGAGGAAATTCGGTACCTGGTGAACAATTTGCACCTAGCACATCATTAATTTCAAATAACTCTAATAAATAATAACAGGTAAGCAAGAATAAATATTAATACATCTCATTCATTCAATCATCCATCGAATCATCATTTTAATGACTCATATAACAAGAAACATCTTGTTTACTTATGCATAACAATAGTGGAGAATGTCAAATTCGTAACAAGACTTTCGTCTCACTATCTTAACATAGAATGCGGAAGGTACCAAGGCAAAAGTAGAGAGGATAGATTATGCGATGTTTGTAATACACGTGAAATAGAAGACGAATTCCATTTCATTCTTCAATGCCCTAGATATCTTAATTGAAGAAAAAAATATATAAATGAATATTATTACAAATTGCCAAGTACTTTTAAATTAATCCAATTGTTGGGTACCAACCGCATATCTACTTTGGTTGGTTTAGGGAAATATATTCATTATGCCCTAATATTACGTAACGAAGATCAATCAGGTTAACCTAATTTCTATCTGTGTAAGGTTTATATTTTCAGATGTCTGTACATTAAAACATCATTGCTGTATACTGTATTATAACTTTGAATTATGTATTGTACTGCTTATTATATTGTACTTCATTTGTTCAATATATATTATTGTATACTATAAATGAGTGGAACTGTGGGACTGAGGAACACTTGACCAGGGGTTTCACCCCCCAATTTAGGCTCACTGAGAGTCTTAAATTTTGTAATATATGTTATTATATGTTATTTTTGTAAACTGATGGGCTGTATTGCCCAAAGTTATATCCTGAATAAACTAATATACAACAACAACAAACAATGAAACCTTAGTCTCGATATATAATATGTTTGTCTCAGCCAGTGTGTTCCCTTGCGCCTGTCCAAATATTCATATGTACATGATTATTTGCATTTTATTTAAAAATAAATAAATAAATGAAGAATATAGTAGGGGAAAAATGAAAAAAGAAAGAAACAAGGCGTGACGTTTCGTATTTATTATTAATTCATTTTCATTTCAAGATAATGAACAACGTTCTGAGCTATATTCATACAGCAAATATTCAAAGTTTTTAATCTGAGCACATTCAGAGATATATTTTGGACACGTTTGAAATCGAGCTGTAGAACACGGGATAGTTTTCAAAAGACAACATATAGTAATGCAGTAACAACGATCGATTTCCTGGATAGTAAATTTCTATTCTCTATCCGTATAACATCCCTGCGTACATCAAA